TTTACAGTAATTTAGCCATTAGCGGCTCAGGCTGCGTCCGCACTGCAGAAATGATCCGGTTTGAGACCACTTTAACTGCCATGGCTCCATGCTATGGAATTCTGGTGATTGCAGCTCCGCTCTGGTGCCACCACAAACTGCAACCCCTAGAATGTCATAGCATGGAGCCACGGCAGTTAAAGTGGTCTCAAACCGGATTACTTCTACAATGAGGATGCATCTTCTCTCTCTCTCTCTCTCTCTCTCGCTCACAGCTGCTTTGGGTTAAGGAGGGTTAGGATTCCGTTTCCTTGTCGATTTATTTTAATTCTAAGAGACCGCCTTTAGGATCATTGCAAGCAATGGCACATTTCCCCATCGATTGAGATGCACTCCAGACATTGTATTTGGATTTAAGATGCTGACAAAGCCAGGGAATTGGAATCCGTACTGAAGCTTGCATAATAGACAGCTTCGGGTTTGAGGTGGTATAAAAAGTTGATCGTAAAATAATTCCCCCCCCCAAAAAAAGTTGAACTTTACAAGCCTGCCCTTCAGTCCAGTTCTCAGTTTGGGATTCCCCGCCTCAGTCTCCTTCCAAAAGCGGTTCTGGAGCCTTCCCATCATGAAGCTGAGGTCCCAATAAATGTTTGGGGCTTGGAGCTCAGCCTTTTGGCTCGGAAATAGTAAGTTCCCTTGAAATCGGTGAGTCTCACCTTTTCTTTCTCCTAGTCAGGAGGTGGTCTGATAGGGTCTTATCTCTCTTACCAATAGGGTCTTATCTCTATTGGCAGATCTGGGAGTAACATCTTCCAACTTGCTTGCAAGCATCTCTGGATGAATGACTGTCAGGTCTTTTTTGAATATTTACCTTTGAGTAAACCTCGCTGGAAACAATGGGACTTCCTTCTAAGAGACCGCTTTTAGCATCATTGCAAGCAGTGGCACATTTCCCCATCGACTTAGATGCACTCCAGACATTGTATTTGGGTTGTGGAGGGAACATTTTGCATAAATCTCTGATTCCAAATCATCTCCTTTTTGGAACCAGGTCGGCAGAAGGTTCCGAAATTTACTTCTCCCTTTCCAAAAGGGCAAGTGGTTGTTCTTGGGTGTAAACTTGACTTCAGCCTCCCAATTTACAGTTTCCTAATCCTCTCCAACGATCAGGTTCAAATTCTAAGAAATCAGCCTCGGGGCTCAAAAGACCCTCTTCTCATATTAAGTTACAAGAGGAAACGCTGGATTCTTGAACAGTTTTGGTGCGCAGAAGAACCAGTTAAGGAGCAATGCTTATTTTTGAGAAAGAGGACCCACAATTAGGAAATGAATTATTATTGGTGATAACAAGAGCAGGAATTCGCAATTGGGGATGATTAGTTATTCAGAGAGATCCCAAAGATCGTAGGTTCCGGTTTGGTATTCTTATTCTTATTTTTGTTGTAATTTTAAGCCCCCTCTGACTCTTGTCTAGCCATTCCCTTGACTGTATCTGGTACATGGCAGTTAAAGTGGTCTCAAACCGGTCTCAAACCGGTTGAGAAAAAGCAACCAGGAAGAATCTATAAGACCCCTTCATATCGGAAGGGATGGCAGCGTGGTCTAGTGGTTTGAGTGTCGGACGGACGAAGACTCTGGAGACTAGGGTTCAATTCCCACCTTGGCCATGAAACCACTGAGGTGTGTGTGTCACACTCTCTCAGCCTCAGGGGAAGGCCAGGGCAAAACTCCTCTGAGCAAACCTTGCCAAGAAAACCCCAGGAGAGCTTGGCCTTAGGGTGGCCAGAAAGTCGGAAACGACTTGAAGGCACACAACAACAAAAAGCAAGGAAAGTTAATGGTATTTCTTTCTGGGAGAAAGGCGGCATACAAATGAAATAAGTAAGTTGATGGTAGGACAACCTGGAAAGTAGCAGCCCCGTTTAAAAAAGAAATGATGAATAAATAAATCCGACCTAAAGGGCAAAAGGGAACGGGAGAATGAAAGCAAGGCATTTAAATAAAATAACTCGAAGGAAGAAAAGGGTTGAGCTTGGGAGCTGTCAGTTCAAGAGAGGCCTCGCTCATCTGGCTTCATTTTGTAGAAAACATCTGGTGGTGCAGGTAAGAACACGTCTACCAACGCCCAACTAGGCAGCGATCAAAGGCTGCATCCGCACGGCAGAAATAATCCTGTTTGAGACCACTCTGGGGGAACAAACTACGATTCCCAGAATTCCATAGCATGGAGCCATGCCAGTTAAAAGGTGTGTGTGTGTCAAACCCCATTCTTTCTGCAATGTGGCTGCAGCCACCTTGGGAGAATAGGGCCTGTTTTGGAGCAGTTTCTTTTTGCTTTGAGGAAGAGGAAGGGAAATTAAGGGAAAATCGAGTTTTTGTAACTGGCCTGGGGCAATTGACTAGAGATTCCCCCCCCCACTATCCATCCCCAAGGTGGAAGATCGAGTTTTTGTTAGGCTGGAAAATCAGTACTCAAAGGAATCTTGGAACACGTTTACTGAAAAAAATAAGAAGCTGGTAGTATGAGCTTTGATAGATTTGAGCCTATTTCCTCAGATGCATTCCAAGGGATCTTGTAGGACCTTAGAGAGAGGTTGGTAGGATGAACTTTGGTAGACTTGAGTCTACTTCTTCAGATAGTTGTAAAGGGCTCTTGGAGCACTTTTGAGATGAACTGAGAGAATGAAGCTGGTAGCAGGAGCTTTGGAAGACTTGAGGCTGCTTGCCTACAAAGGGATCTTGGAGAACCTTTGGGTAGCTGGTCTAGGAAATTTCCTGCTACCAGTTTCTTTCTTTCAGTTCATCTCAAAGGTGTTCCAAGATCCCCTTCCCCTGAAGGCGGAGGAAAGTCGTTTTTGGAATGAACCCATTGCAACTATTGGGAATGGAGGATGGACTGTGGCTGGAAATCGAGCTGGTGGTTTAAAAAACAAGCTGGGTTTGGAGCTAAACCCTTCCTCGCTTCCTCGCCACTTCTTCTCTTCTAGCACTTGAAGAAGCTGAAGGAGCCTCTAGGGCAGGGGTAGGCAACCTTTCCCCTTTAAGGG